AGGAAAATTACAATTTTAAAAAATTAACCCAGGTAACCCAAGCCAACAGTTAGTTGGAACTTTCATTTAAGAACATAGAGGTAAAAACTCAAATAGAGACTTTTGTAGTTTACCCATAAAAAGAAAAGGGAGGGCAAAAAGGTTATAATGATCATTGGTCACATTTGCCTCGAAAACAAAGTATAATATTGTCAAAAAAAAAACAAAGTATAATAATACTAAAAGTCCAATTGCTAAAAATGCAAAAATTTATAGCTAGGTTGGCCCCAGAAGTTCAGAAAATGTGTGTTCTTATTGTGTCCCCATCTCTCTCTTTTCCCCATCTCTCTCATTTCCCACTTCAGGAATTTCCAAGTAGCAAGAAGATTCCACCTAGGGGGAGAGAGAACTTCTTGATAGATAATGAGAAACAGCTGAGAGAGAGACTTTTATACTTATAGAGAGAGAGAGGGGCCCTTTTGTTGTTACTGAGAAACGGATGAGTGACCCAAAGAAAAAAGAGAGAGAGAGGAGAAATTATTTATGGATATTTAAAAATTGATCGATAAAAAACAAAAGGATGGTATACAATGAGTCCATTTTCTTTTGATATAAGGTGGTCATAATTATATAATATTATTGGATGTAAAGTTTGATAGCGTGTCATAAAGTTTGAAAAAAAAAATTTTGAAATTTGAGCTTGATCAATGGATTATCGGATGTAAAGTTTGATAGCGTGTCATAAAGTTTAAAAAAAAAAAATTTAAAATTTGAGCGTGATCAATGGAATAATTGCATGACCCAATTTCACATCCAATGACATCCAATGGTCAATGGAATAATTGCATGACCCAATTTCACATCCAATGGTCAAAATTAAGTTATCACCTTACACCAAAAGTAAATGATCTCGTACTATACTTTCACAAAACAAAAAAAAAACCCCAAATAAATGAGATGTTGAGAAAGAAGTGGGTCACCCATAAGGGAGAGAGAGAACCCAATAGAAAAACAACTGATTCACCCAAGAGAGAGAGAGCAAACCCCATTTAGAGAGACTGAGAAACAAGTCACTAGTCCCAAACAAAAGAGTGAGATTGTGAACTGGCCCCAAAAGAATAGAAGAAAAATCAGAAAACCCCATTAAGAGAAAGAACTCCCCATATAAAACATGGAGAAAGAGAGAGAGAGAGAGAGATCATAAAATTCTCATTTCTGATTCTTAAGAACATAAAATTAGAAGGCTGACCATGCACCCGTATAAAGGGAGATCTGAGTGTAATGGAGACCCATTTCACTGTCTCTCTCTCTATCTATCTTTGAGTGTAATGGAGACCAACTTCACTACGTCTCTCTCTCTCATTAATTACCTTATCACTGTCATGAATCTCCATATATATGCCTCTTCTGTAATTTCCCTTCTTCATTGCAAACAACAATCCTCTTCAGAACACCTTTCCCCTCTTACAAGTAAATATGCAACTTAAAGACACAGGAATTGACCCAGGTAAAAATAAACCCATAATCAGAGTTTTTGACTCGGTTATTAGTGTTTATGAAGTTTCTCACGTGATTCTCCCATGCTTAATATACCTCGAAATTAATGGAGCCACTTTGTTTTTTCCACCATGCTTGTCCAAAACTTGAAGAAATCAATTACAAATAATAATATAATCATAATCATACTACAAAGTATCATTATTGCTGGTTATGTTAGAAACTTAGAATTCTTAATCTTATTTCTTTTGGAGTGTTAACTTTTTGAATTATTTATGTTATTATTACATGTTTTCTCTTGCACTTCACGTTTCTTCCTCATTTACAGTCAGCTCAAGATTCAAAGGCAACATTCACGAAAATAAAAATAATAATAAT